AATTGATGTTTTTAAATTAAAAAAAAATATATTCAAACTGAATACAAAATATCATGTCTAAAATCAATATGTAAATGAGATGTCCAAAAGTCAAATCTCTAGATTTTATTTTCTCGCATGTATTAATATCAATTGTTCTACAAAACGATATAGAGGTAGAGAATGATGGTCGTTAGATTTCAATTAAAAAAAGAGAGGACTTGGGAAGTCGAGAGGACAGTGATGAGGTAAGGAAGAGATGGGAAGAGGTTGTTTAAGTAGACAGTATAGTTTTATATAGATAATGACACAGTATATTTTTCATGACTTTTTGAGTTATTGTTTCTATTTTTATGTATTTTCCATTTGTTTTTGTTGGTTTGATGTTATGATGTATATGTATCCATGCATTTACTGGTTCAATAAATCTATGCACTCGTTATAATGTTTATCTTGGTGTTTCTTTGATTAAATTGAGGTCCTTGCGCGGGCGTCTCATCCCTAAGATTGTAATTGAGAGAGTCAGAATATCAATGCCTTAAGTAAATGTCTACCAGACTCATTTGGTCGGTATTCCCTAATGACTGGTTTTAGGAGATTAGGGTCCCTTTCAGTCTGCCTTTTTCGGATAGTCGGGGTCCGACGATAAGCATACTAGTTTTATTTTATGACCCGCACTCAACTTATTATTTCTATACAAAACCACAAGGGTGGTGCCTGATTGGTTTGAGTTTGGCTCCAAAGGTCAAAAGTACCAGGAGGTCTCAGGTTCAAATCCAATGATGAATAAAAATCCCCTTGTGGCCATGAAGGTTCAAATGCGGTGACTCTGGGCTATCTGCAAAGCAGGTGGTTGCCCTAGGATTAGTCAGCTCGCATAGCGGGTTGGAGGTTAATAAAAAAAATATTTCTATACAAGATAACCTAATACAGGTGATAATTTGTGAACCTAGCCTGGACATGGGTCTGACCCGGCCTTTTTTTAAATATTTAAATAAAGAGTTTTCCACAAAGTGCTTCAACAATTTTATTTATTACCGTAGGAGTAAAACTTAGAACCTTCAAATTGTTAACCAAAAAATAGTAATATACACTACAACAAAATAAGGTCTATATGACATCATAAAAATGTAAGCCTCCTAACAGACCATTTTATAAGACTCAATTTATAGAAACAAAAAACAAAACGTCTTATCTAAAGACGTTGTAATAAGTTTATAGAATGTTTTTGGACGTCTTAACAAGAGACACTTTTAATACAAATCATTACATTAGAAATTTTACAGGATACTATTTGAAAAAATATCATATAAAAACAGGTGTCGTATAAAAAGATGAGTTTATAGGACACTAAGAAAACGTCCTATAAAATTCTCTATGTGATGCTTTGTAATAAAAGTGGGAATGTTTTTCAGAATAACGGCAACGAATTTGGAAACGCACAACCGATCAAAATCATGCCAAGGTCTTAGTTTCTTCCCTTTTTTTACCAAAATTACAACCATTAGATATATATATTAATTTAGACAGATAGTCATTTACAAAATTAAATAATTCTATAAATTTATAAACCAATTTTTATGTGTTTCACACAACATACCTCCTCAATAAGTTTTACGATTACTTTTTTTAAATAATCAGTTAAAGTTTTCGCAATAATTTTATATAAACACCCAAGCAAGCTAATTGAACAGGATTCACAGAAGTTTATTTTTGTTTTCGTATTAATAAATTACATGCATTTGTTTGGTAAGAAAAACCTAAAAATATTTAATTGTTTAGTCAAATAAAAAATATAATCATTTGGTATCTAATGAAGAAAAATAATTAAAGTAACCTTCTCTGAGAGGTATTCAATGACTTGCCTTTGAACAATGAAAATCGAACTCATAAAAAACAAAAATTATAATGACCAAAAATACTTATACAAAAAAAAACTTGTCGTGTTAAAAGTATTTTAATTACTTTATCATAAATAATAACAAAATAATATAATCTTTTTTATCTATTAACTTTTAATAAAAAATTATATAGTTTTATTATCAAAAAGACAAAAATACCCAAAAAAAATATATATATATATATATATTTAATAAACCAAAAAAATCCAAAATACTAAAACACTCCTATGTTAATGGAGAAGTTTTAACATATTTAGTCTTAGGGATGAAAATAATTATAAGTTACAAACTATAGGGACGAAAATGGAAATTTCAAAACCACAGGGGCAAAAATTGTAGTTTACAATTTATTATAAGATTATATTTGTAAAACATAGGTGTGTTTTACCTTGTTCCATGAGGTAGAGGTGAAACAAGTTTGTAGCACTTTGTTTCACAAGGATACGTTTGGTAGGATGAACAAAGTGGGATAAAACATGAGAGAACACAATTGTTCCATGTTTGGTATGTTTAATGTGGATCAAATATGGACTAATTAGAACAAGCATGGAACACACGTGTCCCAATCCACCCCTAGAACATGATGGAACAGTCTCGTTTATACCAAAATACCTTTGGAAAATACTCGACTTAAACACGCCTTACTGGATGATTCATCAGATCAACTCCATACCTAGCTATTCATCAGATTGATTCCTCCATACCAATCGCTTTATCAAATCGGTTTCTCCATACCAATCGATTCATCAAGACTTTCCTGTCACTTCTTGATTTGGGTTTTTTGATACAGGGTAAGTTTAGAAGAAGAGAACCGGTAGTGAAGCACAATCAACTTTTTCATCTTGTGTTTTTGTAAAAATATTTTAGTAGTGTTGTGAGATGTGGTGAATTTATGTTGTTTTACATGGCTTCTAATTGAATCTAACATCAAAAAATAGAATTATTTGGTAAAGAAACACTAAACTGTTCATTAGGGTAAATTGATCATTTAACCAGTCTTGTCCTATCTAGTCCAGTCCTGACATGTCTTATCAAATGTTGAACAACTGTCATGTCTTGTTCCGTCCCATCCTCACCTATCTGCGTAACAAACGTACCCCTATATTTCTGTCTGCTCTACATAAAAGTCATGTCAAACGTGGAACAATAATCCATGTTTTGCTAGCTATGTACTGTCTAGTGTACCAAACACACCCTAATTGATTTATCTAAAATAGATAAACAAAAAATGATAAATAAATTACACTCAATTTTAACAATTTTGTTAAATATTTCAACATTAATTATATTATTACAAAGTTTAATGTATTTAATACTCCAAACTATGAAGCAAACTTCTTATAAAATGATAAAGAGATTGATGTATCTCTACTTGAAAATAAGTAAAACAAACAATTCATACATATTATTATATGAGTTAGGTTTCAGTGAAAAGAGAAGTTACATTAAGAAGTGTAAGAAAAGATCTTCATCTTTTGATCAATCATAATCGAATGTCAACACTAATGAGGTGCACCAGATCAGTTCCATTTTAAAGCGCAATTTCATGAGTGAAAATATATAATTAAAAGTGATCAAATGTTCAGATCTCTTCTTGCATTTCTTAAAATAACTTCACTTCTCACACGATTCTTAATCCACTGTATCATCCTAAAACATATATAATTATATTTGCATATTTCTTGAATTATGGAGTTTTTTTTTTGTTATAATTCTCTTTCTATTTTGGACTTTGGAGAATGGTTTGAGAATTTGATTGGAACTCGCTTTTATAAAAAAAAAATCAATTTCTTTTTTATTTAATTATTTTTGACTTAAATGTGTATTTTATAATGTTATAAAATTAACGTCATAAATATTTTATTTTATAATAAATATCAACCAGAACATGATATTCTCCATATAAATAGTATTCAAGCATTTACCTTTTTAATTAGAGTCCAATGTCTACGGACACTTTACGTTAAATCATTCCAGATAACATTGGCTTAACAAACTTAAAACTTATCACACCATAATTGTCCTTTTTTAAATTCCTTTTTCAATTTAGTTGTGACCATAATGGATCCCACTTATTTTTATTTTCTTAATTTTTAGTTTTGATACACACGTGGATTTGTAAAGATCGATGAGTAAAATTAAGGGTTAGTTATCAGAAAATCAACATCACAAATATTTCAAAAATAATTATTAGCAACCAAACAAAACAAAAAAATTACTGATTCATCAACATTTTACATAAAGAAATACATTAATATACTGTTTACTTATAGTTTAAAAATCTAGACAGTTTATCTATTTAATTTTACATGAATGTTTCTTTATAGCTTAATCGTTAAGCCAAAAAACTATATGTCATAAATTAGGTGTCTTCATCCATCCCCATTAATTCATCTCAAACAAGTTAAGGGGCCGTTTACCAAAAACTTACTCAATAAGTGCTTACCGGTAAAATTTAACACTATTACTTACTTATCAGGTAAGATTTTAGTCCACCAAAACAATATCATATGCAATAATTTACCCAATAAGCTCTTACCGTTGTAAGAATTATCGTTTTTTCTTACCGGGTAAGACTCTTGTTCCTTGTCTCGTTCTTACCAGGTAAGATTATTGGTTCTTGCCACATTCATCTGGTAAGATAATGTAATATGAGTAAGTGTTTGGTAAACGACCCATAATACTATAAATTCTTTAAGAATAATCCAATGTCTCTATTTACCTTCCTTAAACCCATCAATCTCCTATCCAATAAAATTAATATATTTTCCGAACAAATGACTTAATTTATACAAAATATAATAAAAAAATGAAAAAAAAACAAGCCTAAGAAGATGTTTGGGATTGCTTATAAAAATAACTTATTGACTTATTTCGGTGTAATACCGTAATAAGCACTTTTGAATATTTGGATAAACAACTTATATCAATGCCAAACCGGTAATAAAGAAATTTTAAAAAATTAAATCATTTTAATTCATGATAAATTAATAATTACTTTTATAAAAAAATATAAATTATTTCAAATAAACAATCTCAAACAGCCCTTAGTTAAAAATCGGAAAAATATAATTTAATGGTATTAATAATTTATGACACAGGGTATGGTTTTTCTTTGTAGTTTTACTGGGCTATGGAGGACGTGCTATCGCTAATATAGTCGAACCCTAGCGGACGAGTTGAAGCCAAATCCTCTTACAATCTCTACCAATAGCAATGTCTCGTCGCGAGACTCGTGATTCAGACTCCAGACACCATCGCTCTAGATTCGATCGGGAACCTAGGTATTATCATACTCTTTTGATCTCTTTCAGTTTCCTTCTTCTGTGCCGTTATGTGATGTGACTGTATAAGAGCTAGATGCTTGATTATTCTTCTTTACTGTATTGTACGTCATCAGATTAAGAAATGCCGAGTCGAATTCATCCTTTTATGAATCAAATTTTGTGTTGTTGAGATTCTTGTGACCAGTTCATGGATTTTGGGTTATGGGATGTGTTTCTAATGTTTTTGGCTTCGTAAGATGTTGAATCAATTTAATTTGTGAATCGTATTTCTTCTTAGGTAATTCCGGTGATCAATTTGTGGGTTTTAGGGTTAGGTGCGTTCTTGATGTTTCTTGATATGTGTGTAGAATTGAATGTGTACAAATGAGGGGTTGTTGCATTACATATCGATATTGCATGTCAATTGCTAACGCCAACAATGTTTATCTTGGGTTACTTGGTAATTTGGTGTTGGTGTCTTGGTGATTAGTATCACTAATATCATTTAAGTGTAATGGGATTAATTTGTTGACCAATGTAATCATGATGAATATCGAACAAGCAAGGAAGGTGCGGAGTGCACACTTGTTTGAGTTTATTTTGATTTAGGGGAGACGCCCCTAAACGACGGGGTTCCGGGGGAAGCGCCCCCGGTGGCGGGGTCCAAGGGGCAGAGCCCCTGGCTGGGGTCGAATTGGTCTTTGACAGTTTTTGCACGTTTTCTTCAACTTTTCGAATTGGTCTTTTTTGCGGATTTGCAGAGAGGGTGGTACATAGATTTCATAACAATTTCAGATTCGAAGTTCTGTCACTGATTTAATCCGATTGAGATTTCGATTGTACCGTCGAAATACTTGAATCTGAAAGTGAAAAACGACTTTCAATTTCCGGGAAAACAATTCTAACATTTGGTATATAGCTCATTGTAGTTAGCAATTCTGAAATGAAACTGAAATTTAAACTGTGGATAAAAGTTTTGTTCCTAAAGAAATGAAAATGAAATTTTAAAGCTGGTTGTTTGCATGATAACTTGCGTATTATGTAAAGGGAAGAATATTTGCTTTGTGGTGTGTACTTCTGAATTTCTAGTTTTGCAATATGTTGGTGTAACTCATTCAAGTGGAGCCTTGTTCATGTTTTGCTGCTGTTTCCTGCCAGTCCTAAGCGGGTTAGGAGGGATGGCAAAACAGCAACGGAGCGACCACCCAGCAACCTTAATTTGGATTCTGCTGAACATATTGATCGAGATCAAAAACACCATCGCAGGGTGCAAGATTCCCTGCCTCTGGAGGCCCCACCAGTGTCTGATCCAAAAATAGAAACTGTGCCCTTGAGCAAAGAATCTGACAAGAAAAGTAATGGATACCGTGAAGGAACGAAGAATTCTTCCGACAAAATCGAAGCACCTCGGTCTCGATCTCTCTTTCAGGTTTTTATTGAAGACACCTTTGTTGGACTCCTTTAAACTGTTTGCAAAATCTTTCTGTTTAGGCTCCTTTATATATCTTTGGATCCCATAGGTTTCCTCTTCCTTGAGAGGTTTTTGTCACAAACCATGATCGACATTTTTCCAAATTGCTACTAATAACTGCAAATATATGATCATCATGATTTTGGAGACGTTTATTTCAACTAAGTCACAATACTTAGTTTATCGTAAATGTGTAAATTTCCTAGTACCATCTTACAAGGCCTCCTTTTAAGTATTCTTCATCCTTGCCCTTGGATGATTGAGTATTGTGCAGCCAACGGTTTCGTTTTTTTTCGTATTAATGGGGGAAAGAAGGTTTCACTGTAGATCTATTAGTTAATTGACTTCGAATCATGCCTTAGGAGGCAAAATGAACCCTTCATTGCCGAACTATTTGGGCCTGTACAGGTTTCAGTCATCAATCTTTTGTTTAAATCTAGGACTGTCCTTTTGGTGTTCAAATTAGTTCTACAGGATAGAAAGGTTTATCTTCTTGTCGTAAATCTTAGACTTTAAAAGCTGATGTTAGAAATATCTAGACGCAGTATGATGTTAGTCCATAAAATGTCAGGTCACCCTTTGATATTAAATATTAATCTTCCTTTCTCTCAAAAAGCCAAACTTATCCTCAATTGCTTATCAAAGATCTGTGTACAGCCACTGAATTTTGGTGAGGGTACTAGTTCCATTCACAGGCTGCAAGTCTGAAGTAGATTTTTCTACTCACTAATCTATTAAAACTTAATAAACTAGCAATTTACCTATGTGTTGCATGAATATAATTTTTTAAAATGTAAATAAATGATATGTTGATTGTATATATCGAATTTAAAATAATTTTTCTCTGAAAATGTATTAGATAAAATGGCATGTTTCGTTACATATAATTCTTTTATGTGAAGTTATTAATTACTTATTGTATTTTGAAATGAACTTGTTTATCGATATGTGTTTGTTATGATTTAATTTTTTTGTAAGACTACGTATACACACACAAACATATATAATTTTGTATGTCTCAAAAACAAGGTTTAAATTGACATATAATTTGATAACAAGATTATTAATCAAATCTCTAAAAGTATTTATCGACAAAATAAGAGAACAGATTAGCACAGTGGGTGTTAAACATAATTTAAAAAACATGATATATTATATATATATATATGTGTGTGTGTGCGCACATGTGTAGCTTTTCTACCCTTGAAATACAAGGGCATTTGGTCATCAGGTTTTATGGTCGATACATGATGTCTTGCACACAAAAGAAAGTAGATGTTCTTGCTGTGTGATTGCAACTGTGTAATACAAGGGTATTCATTTGGTCACCTAATCTTTAATTAGTGGACTTCGATTAATGATGTGAACCGAAGTTTCTCAACATTGTTTTCTTTTATCTATTCTCAAATGCAGTGGAACTATTGTTTCACTTTTATCGCACTCTGATTTACCAGATTGTGTTGCATCTCTTAAACACGTAGGTCTTTGGATGATAGGTTTATCTTGTCTTCAAGTATATTCCTGCTATAGTATCACAAAACCATAGGTCTTTGGGATGATATTTTTGAAGTTTATTAGAAAGTTGGTTGAAAATGGTGCGGTATGTTTAATTATGGAATCACTGCGAACAATTTACTCTGGGCTGATGTAGAGAATTTGTTCGTCCCGCTGCCTTCAGTTGCTCCACATGTATATATATAACCATCTTGGGCTTGCCTGTGCTTGTCTTATAACAGCATGATGAGCGTGCTGGTCGTAGCTTCAGACACAGGGAAACTGCTGGTGAGTTTCAATTTTGTAATTATATATTTGGTGTTCATAAATCATTGCTGCCCTCGTCATTTCAAGGGGTTCCTAAAGTATATATAAACTTTATAATCTATTTTCTCCATTTCCTGTTCTTGTTTAGAGCGTGATTGGTGGAAAGATTCAAAGGATCGTCAGAGTGGAAGGACAACAAACAGAAGTTCAAATAATGATGACACAAAGCCCAGAGATGAGAAAACCCGTGGACAGGGAGTTGACCATCGTGCCTGGCGCTATGATGGCTCCTACAAAACGGAACCAGATCTGAAGCAACCTTCAAAGAAAAGGCCTTCGTTTCGAGAGACCAAAATACCAATTGATGCTGGAACTGATGACAAATCAGCACCAGAAGTTGCAAAGCCCTCTGCTGTAGGAAGTGAAAGGAAGGAAGAAAGAGGAAAGCCACCAGAGAAACCTCCGGTTGACAGGCGGTTGTCAGGGGAAAGGGACCCACAGCAGAGGATGAAGTTTCAATCAAGAGATAGGTATGGTGGTGGCGGTGGTGGCTTTGGAGGTTCAAACAGGGGAAGAGATAGATTCAATGGAAGGCAAGGGCAAAGCGGTGGGCGAGTTGAGAAGTGGAAGCATGATCTTTACGATGAAGCAAATAAGAGCCCGACCTCAAAGAATGAAGAGGATCAGATTGCAAAAGTTGAAGCGTTGCTGGCTTCGTAGGCGACAGACAGACAGCCATCATCGTTAGTGTTTCGTTTATGTTCATATCATTCGTTTCTGTTTGTGCTACATTTCAAACCGACATTATAGTTTTCATCAAATATGAACCTTTATTGTTTAATGATCATCCATGCATTTAAGAATAATAATATGAAGTGGTTTGTGATATTATACAAATTACAGAAACAATGAAAAAATAGCTTGCTTGGAATCTTGGTTTCCATTTGCTTCAGTTACCCTTGAGCTTTGCAGCATGATTATATGTGTTTGGAGTTGAACAGGTGGTGTTTGAATCAAAAGCTGATCTGTGGTGCAAGAACTCAGCGGTGGGTGGCTGGAAGTCGGAACGGGTCCTGCGGTGGGACGAACCTTCAGCGGCAGAAGGCTGTGCTGCATCCAGGAGATGGTAGCTGGCGGTGGAGCCGGTGGAGAAGGAGCGGTAGGTGTGATGAAGCCTGTGGCTCTTCTTCATGGCATGCATCAAAAATGGAATCAGTCCTTCCATTGTTTGCTGAATTTGAATCTGGTAGCTGCTGGTTGAGGTGAATCTAGTGAATATGATAGGATGAATGTTATGTTTTTTGTTTTTGGAGGGTTACGTTACATATGGTGTTATTTATATGTGGGTAGGGTGGCACATAGGTTTGACTTTTGAGATTTAGAATGGTCAAAATAAAGATAAGAGTTTGTATTATGTTGACTTTTGTTGATAGGTTGTTGTTTCTGAACAAAACACGATACCGACTCGTGTGCATTTTTTGGATAAAGTGGAAAATGGAAAGAGCGACGGCTACGGCTCTCTATTTGTATCCAAATCCTAATCCTACATGCCACCTCTTTACATCCGGCTGTTTTGCAATTGCTGAATGGTTTGGTACAAAATGATTAAGTGGTCAGAATAATTAAGAAGTTTTTATGATATAATGCAAAAATAAAATATAATTGTTTGGTAATTGTGTACAATGAAATTAGAGCTCTTAATGGTCAAGGGAGATTCATGATACAAAATCATTCAGAGAGTTTTAGAACTATTAAATGACATATTTTATTTTGCCAAACAAGATTCACTTCTTAACGATTCAAATGATGCCTCTTAATGGAATTATTAAGAGGTAAACAAACAACCCATAAATTTGTCTTCAAATAAATAAAATTGCATTATTTAATTAATGAAACTTCTTTAATTTGATGATATCAAGTAGGGAAAATCTATAAATAAATAATAAAAAAATGTTAAAAAAAACCCTATATTATATATCTTCTCTTATTCTTGAGTTTGTTCTTAAATTTATTTAAGCTCATATTCTTCTTCACATCTTCTTATCATCAATTTTAGTCTTTTAGTCTTGCCGAGTCTCCCAGTTCGAGGATCACATATGTGACTAGTGAGTTTAATAGTAGCAAAAAACATCAAAATTAACAAGACGAAACAAAAAGACTTTTCCTGCAATGTGGGTTTGGAGATGCTAGAACCGAGAAGACAAAAAAAATAACATATTAAAATAACAAAAACAGAGGAAGATCTTAACCTGTAAGACGGACAGGGGAAGCATCCGTGCCGGTGGTGATGGATAGCGCACAACCATGAGATGGGAAGGGGGAGTGGACGGGCAATGGTTGCGGGTTAGGAAATGGTAATTATGATTTAGGTTTTTTAAAACCTTTCTAGCTGTTTAAAGTAACTTCTTGGAATAAAAACATGCAGATAGCTAATTTGTAAAAATTCAATTATTTATTTATTTAAGAAAAAAAGTTTAGAACTTAATTATTTAAAATAAAAAAGTTTGTCGGGTTTTTTTGGAAAAATTTCCTACAAATTATATCAGACGACCTTTATTATTATGGTAAAAGTTATAAAATAACTTAATAATAGACTCTCTATTCTAAAATAATATTTTATATAACAAAAACACATAATCTTAAAAATGTATAGTTGTTATTTTTTATTAATTAGAACTATACTCGTGCAACGCAGTGAGATCCATCTTGATTATAATATTTTATTTTATTTTTTATCTCAGTCGATGTTATAATATGGTCTTATGTGATTTTGAAAAAAACGATGTTTTTATTTTTCAATAAAGTATAAATTTGAAGATATCATAAAATTTGACAAAAATATATCGATATTAGTATCAAATTAACTATTTAAAATTTCTTATTTTTGTGTAATTTTTTAATTCAATTTTTTTAATTATAACTTAATTAGGTTCAATAACGAAGTAATTTATATTTGGTTTAATAATATAATTTTTTTTAAAATAATAATTAATTATTTTGTTAGAACTTGATAATTATTCTATTTATATTTTAGATTTTAAAATGAGATGTTTATTCTCTATTTGACTATGCTTATCCACAATTAATTACACGTCAAACATTGAACTTTAATAAGCTGTACTTATGCATAATTTTTTTCCTTATAAAGATAATAATTAATTATTTGTTTGAACTTGATAATTATTCTAATTATATTTTAGATTTTAAAATGAGATATTTATTCTCTATTTGATTATGTTTATCCGCAGTTATTAACATGAATTTTTAATAAGTTGTACTTATGCATAATTTACTTGTAATCTTAAATTTTAAGTAATATGCATGAATATACAGTACTTCATGCATAAAAAATAGTTTTTAAATTTTTTTATCAAATATTTTATAATATAGTATAAATTAAGGAATGATGTTATCCTCAATAATAAAAAGAGAACGTTTTTTTTTCTATTTTATAATTAGAAGTAATATAAGAAAGTAGATATTTATATTGAATTTTTTTAAAACTCTAATATAAACATTTATTTGGAGTTGAAATGTGTAATATATATATATATATATATAAAATAGAAAATATTTTTAAAATTAATTATTAAATATTTGAAACGTGTTTAAAATTCCTGTAAGTAACAGGGGTAGGGTGGAACGTAGGAGGTAGTGGTCTTCTACCAACTTTTCCAATGGGCGAAAAGGTCATTTTGGTAATTTTAGAATGGTCCAATCCTTTTTGACATTCAAATTTCAAACATAATCATTACACGTTCCAATGTGCTCTTGTGACAGCTGTTTTAACAAGAGGGGTTTTAAAGAAAAAGGCTTTTAAGGACAAGTGTTGAAAAGCGCAACCACTTTCTTCATCTTCAATAATTAAAATTTATATCAATATTTTTTCTAATTATTGACTTATTTCGATATGATACTGGTAATAAGTATTTTTGAGTGTTTGCAAAAATAATTTATATCGGTGTCAAACCGGTATTAAAAAGTTTTTAAAAAAGTTAAACATTTCTGACTTATAATAAGTTGATAAATGTTTTTATAAAAAAACATAAGTTGTTTCAAATAAGCAATCACAAACACCCCTAAATTGGTCTTCTAATATATATTTTTTTAAATTGACTCAAATGTCACTACTTTTACAATATCTAGATTCACAATATTACGGATTTAGTTAAAAGACAAAAAAAATCATATTCAACATATATATGCAATTTGGATGGCCAGGTCCGCAATTTGCGACGACTAAGTCCATAATCGCAACGGTAAACTAGTTGAATTCGATTTTTTATGTCTTTTAGCTACGTCCGTAATATTGAAAATATTGATATTAAGGAAATAGTGACATTTGGTGAGACTTAGAAAGAACAGATTAGAAGACCAATTTGTATGTGTGAAATGATCATTTGAACTAATTTTCTTTTAAAATTACCGTGTGACAAATATAAGTTATCTTAGGAGTTAATTTATTTTTTAAGTATATATTTAGATTGATATAAGTTAGTTTATTGAACAGTTAGTTGAAGAGTTTATTTTCACTTTTTTTAATCATAACCTTGATTAATATTAATTGTTATTTATTATTTATTATATTAATTACTAATAAATATTGATTATAACCATGATTAAAATTAAGCATTAATTTTAAATTATTAATTAATTTTAATTATAATCATTCATTGGTATTAATTATTTATTATTCATTTTTTTAACAACAATAAGACTTTATTAAAAAACTAGTAAGACGTTAACGAACAATTACATATAAAAAATAGTCAAGATAGGATTATGAAGACAATCCACCCAATTATCTTAAACTTGTTACTCATATTAGAAACCCAAAAATACGACTAAATCACAATCTTGTCAAAGATATCCGTTTTCTTTAGCTTGGTCTCACAAAAAATGGTCACATTCCAAATTGACCATATATACCAAATATGGTGAGAATAACTGCCTCGAACACATTTTCTCCTATCCAAAATTATCCCTAGTGGCTAAAACCTAATCGCCAAACAAAAACATTGACGTTGATAGGAACTAAATGGTTCCATCTAGTATCAATTGAGCCCACAACCAACAATCTGGAATCAATGTAATCTATAAAGGAGAATCATCAAAAGATGATGTGACATCATGAGAGAGCTAGAATCATTAGTTACTATTTTTTTTCTTCCAATTTTTGAATTATTTTTAAATAAAAACATATCATTAAATGAATAAACCTTTCATTTAGTTTATATATATATAAGTTACATATAATGATCTAATAAACCTTTAAATCTTTATCTATATATCTATATATATTTATAAAGAAGAAACATACAATGTTGACATGACATCTCCTTATACTAGCATTCATGTCTTCCTTTTTCCTTTTATTTTAGGTTTTATATTTAATCTAAAACTTTTACTCTTTATCTTCTACCGTTACAATTTCTTCTCTTCTACGTCTTTCTATCATAAACTTCTTTACTCTTCATCTTCTATCAGTACAATTCCTTCTCTTCTACATCTTTCTATCACAAACTTCTTTGCTCTTCTCCATCTCTCGATCCCTATAAGAAATTATGGATTAACAGTATAGCTGGCGATACGCCTCTCTCTATCTTTCTATGCATCTATAGAAAGATATGAAACAATAATTATGAGTGTTTTACTTCTATTTTCTCGATCTCTCTATCCACTATGTTGTCTGCGATTAGAAGCAAACTGAAGGAGATTAGAGAAACCATATAAGGAGATTAGAGAAACCATATAGCTGGCGGTACGCCTCTCTCTATCTTTCTATGCATCTATTAAAAGATATAAAACAATAATTATGGGTGTTTTACTTCTATTTTCTCGGTCTCTCTATCCACTATGTTGTCTGCGATTAGAAGCAAACTGAAGGAGATTAGAGAAACCATATAAGGAGGAACAAGAAAAGTCTACGGCAAAATCAGTTGCTGGTGTGTTTCCTTCATCTCTGAAGTTCCGAGAAAACTAATTAGATGCTCCCATATCTCCATGAGACTGAATATACAAAACATGAAAATGATATGTTTTCATTTTGAATTACTCCCTCAATTTTCCACACAATATGGACTTTGAAGTCGATCTAGATATCTCATATTGGTAATTTTGTTATTTTCATTTTGAAGATTGCAGATTATTTTTGTAAACAGTTAATTATTTATCTTCTATTACATTTTTTGAGGACTCGGGATATTCATAGAAGGAAAAAAAATATGATAATTTCCCATATTTTTGAACTAAACCATAATTTGATAATTTTCTACTATAACCACGTTCCATGTTACAATTTTATTGGATTTTTCATTATAAAAGGTAATATTCGACTTTACACCTAATAATATACCGAATTGATATATATTATTTATAAATTATATATTTTTAATTTTCACAAGAAATATATTACACCTTTCTTTATCCTTGTAATAATAAGACAACCAAAACCAAGAAATTAGTTATATATATCTATAGAATGTATTATCTGTCATTTCACAATTTAACTTCTTTTACGCTACATATTCATTTTTCTGCAACCAATATATTTTAACTTTATTTATTCTAACATAATAAAACATTCAAAAATAAAATTGTACCATAATTATTGTGATACATTTTAACACTTTATATCGAATTCAAACTTATATATTCATAATTTTACAACCAATGTATTTTAACTTTCTTTATTCTAACAAAATAAAACATTCAGAAATATTGTGATACCTTTTAACACTTTATATCGAATTCAAACTTATCGATGCTTTCTTTCATCAATCAACAATGACCGTGCAATAAAGTTACCTAGTTCCTAGTAAAGGCAACGATATTTAGAGTTAATATCAATTTTACCAGAAGTTTTTATATTATTATTATTCAATATTTATTCGTAAAAAAATAACAATTTTAAAAATATTTTTGTAAATTACATAAAAGTTAAAGTTATATGTTTCTTTTGTTGTGGGGAGAATGGGGGTGGGCAGGGGCGAACATGAGGTGGGTAGGTGTGACGACGACAATAGTGACATAGTGGTCAGTGGTGGGTTGGGGGTGAGTGGCGGTTATGACAACGACAGTAGTTGTGTGGTGGTGGGAGGTTAGAGTAGGGATGTGACAGTAACAGTAGTGGGTGGGGGCTTAGGGCAGGGGTTGGAGTAGGGTGGGAGGGGCGTGATGGTAGTTATGACGATGACAATATTAGCATGGTGATCGATATGGGTGGGCAGGGTGGGTGTGAAGACAACAGTAGTGGCATGGTGGTCAGTGGTGGGTTAGGGGTGGCTAGTGATTGTGACGACAACAATAGTAGTGTGGTGGGGGTTATTAGGTGAGGAATGACGGTAACAGTAGTAGCATGGTTGTAGTGTGCCAAATGATGGACGGTGATGGAATTCAATTCATTCACTTATCCTAAGGAATGATCAATTTTTTTAAGGGCAAATTTTTTTTATTACAACAATGTACTTTCAAACTATTTTTTATTAGAATGTTGCACTTTGAAAAATTTACCCATTATAGCATTGGGTAACTTTTTGATTTAAATTTACACATTATACCAGGTTTCCATGCCACCTCATTATCCACGTAGGTTGTCCACATGTACTATAGTGATGTGACTTTCTTATTACAACATTATACTTTCAAAATTATTTTATTATAGCATCTAGTAGTTCTTATTAAACAATGTACTTTTAATTTTAATAATAATATTAGGATATTTTACATGTAATTCAATAAATATATTAAATGAATTAAAAAAATTCTAAATTATTCAATAATATACCAATATTAATAAAACTAGTAGAAGACAACTTATCTCGCTAATATTTGAAAAAAAATATGTGTTTATTGAAAAAAGAAAAATAAGAATTGTTCATTTTTTACCAAAAAAACATTATCTTTTAAAAAATATATTATATCTGTTCAAAAACTTTAAAAGAAGAGTTGTATGTCTTCAATCATGGCATTACTGAATCAAACAAACTAAGTATATCCCACGTAGTAGTAGTGTCTAGATGGTATGATGTACATAAACCTAGCTTCTACGCTAAATGATAGAGAGGTTGTTTCCCTAAAAACCTCCGGCTTACAAACCAAAAATACAAGAAGACAGGTGAAGTCACGTTATATGCATTACCAAACCACACGAACCCAATATATCGCAGACAGAGGTAAGGTTTGGAGGATTGGATCTTGCTTCTACCTTGAAGGATAGAGACATTCCTGTGGCTGTAAGGTCCACCGGCTTGCAAAATGAAAATACAAGACAGGTGACAAAATGTCATATGCACTACCAAATCAAAGAAACCACAATATCCCACATAAAGGTAAGGTCGGATGTTGCCTATAATACCCCAAAGAGTAGAGAGACGATTTCCGTAAATACTTCCAACACAAAAACAAATATACGAGACAAGTGAAACAATGTCGTATGCATTGAAGGGTAACAATACAAGTTCCCGAAATATTTACATGAACGAACAATCCTCTCGACTGAAAAATGAAGCAAGTATATTCTCGTCCTCTATGCCGAGCTACGATCATAAGATCATCTTATTCTTTACTTTTCTGGACTAGAAATTACAAGATGCAAACCATCCTTCACTCAAGAAACAATGTGGTAACTTGGATAGACATATGTGCATCATCTTGGCGATGGGATCGTAGATTCAAGCCCAATCTCCATTCCGTTGTACGCAATGGGAGCATACATCCACAGATCATCAGAGCTCAAGAGCTGCCAATACCACAAGGTTACGGTCAATAGATCATTAACGTGAACTTTCAACCAATGTTGTGAAACAAATACACCCTATGGGGACAATTCGACCTCAAAAACCTTTTTTTAAGTGTATGTAATATTTATATACAGCAAAACTCACGCACTCCTCACATTTGGTGAGGAAGGTTGGATTCTACCAGTAACCTGGGTACCGCTGGGCCAAAATGGCAAGAACTCTTTGGTAAGACAGAACTGGCATGGTCTGAAAGAAGAAATCTACAAAGACCATCATTGCCATTTTGTCCATGCTTCATATGTTACCACACATCTGCTACATCTGAAAATCTTAGAATAATTGGGTTTGTTTCCTCACCTTAATTTGGAGCTGCAAAAACTTCACATATTGGACAGCATCTTCAAGCATTGTGCTTATATCAACCTTCAAATTAGAAAAAGGACATTATTAAAGGTTAGCTGTGTGGCTACTTTTTTAGTTAAAAAGCAATATCCTACAACAAGATATAATTGCTCACCTTTGTACCATTAGGAACAAGACTCTGGAGTATTCTTAACCGTTCATTAATTCGTTCTCTTCTCTTCTGCCAAAGATTGAGAAGTAGTTTCATTGATTAGTTCTACATTCACTGAAAAAGGAATATTAGCTTACGGATACAAGTGCTGTTCAATAAAGATTACTTACCCGTGCATAGACACTTTGTGGATCCGTTGCTGACCCCCTATTTGCTTTTGTCTTACCATTTGAGTTCAGATTTGCAGTCTCTTTCGGTCTTGAACTTGTGCTTGACTCCTGAGACCAATTTGAGTCATCGTCGGATCCATAGATTTTCATTATTTGCCCAAAAACTGCATCATGGTCAGCTTCAGTTCCGTTGCCTTTAGAAATGAGTTTCCGACTCTTTCTACACTTTATCTTTTCCCTGTTGTCATGGACCTACAAAGTGGAATAATTGTAAGAAATTTAGCATAATTATCACATTCGAGACAAATTAAATACAAATTTGCGGCATGTTTTACTTACATCTGCCATGCTACAAGAACGTTTCCTAGAGCTTGCAGACAATTTGTTATCTTTTCCAGATTGTGGAACCAATATTTCATCTCTTTCCTTTCCTTTCATTAGAGTGTTGTCCGAGAGGAGAGGAATGGAGGATAATATACTTTTTTCCCTGTCCTTCAAGCAATCAATTGAAGTGCGAGAAAGAATGCTACCACCATCAGTCAACAGACAATGTGGATTGCTTCTGGTGTCATCTGACAAATAAACTGAAGTTTCATCGACCTCATCAATGGTCATGGTTAGTTCTTGCTGTGGCCAAGATGTAGAAGGAACTTCAAAGGGAGAAACATTCGGAGAATCACTTGGAAGAGGAAAACTGCCAAGCAACTGTGCCATAAAATAAGCCTCCTCAGTGAATTGTAATCCACTGAAGGAGTTCCACTCTCCTAACATGGCAGTCACGGATTCCATCCTTCTTGCTGAAGTGAAAATTGTAGGCACAGAAGGTGCTATCTGTTGATGAAGTTAAACCTCAAGCTCTATTTGCACAACTGTTGGAAAAGACGGTATGAAAAGACATATTTATAGGTAAGGAAACTGTCACTGGATTGGCTTGTTTGTATGTGAAATATATTACTTGTAATAAATTAAAACAGATGGATTTCAATATTTTTTAAACAACTATTAAAAGCCTGTCAGAGCCTAATACAGCTGTGCAGACCACCTTCGGGATTGATTTCAGAAGTTTCCAATCAGATTAGAAAAAATAATGACCAGCGTCGAAATGGCAATCATGAGAAGGAATAACTGTTATTTGCTTCACCAGAAATATAAAGTCTGCGAACATGGGAGACATACTTAGCTACCTATGCATGTATTCTATGTGACAAAAAAATAAAGAACTTCCAAATGCACAGCGCTAAGAGAGTACTGAAATCTCTACAGAACCTGAAACCAGACAAAGATCTTACCAGGATCTTTGTTTCCTTTAATACCTTTGTATAAACCTAGCAAATATTCAGTCTAGCTACATTGTCCTATGTTTAGTACCATTATCATCATGATAAAAAAAAGTAGCAATCGCTTTATATGACACAAAGTTAATCAGATCAATTTCTTGCATCAACATCGACTCCAGTATGTGCATTTAAAGCATCAACTCTAATGCCACAATGGACTGGGTGCAGCACAATTTGACCTTTAAGAACTTGATTCCTTCCATAAAATTTCCTTGGAGTCACTCACTGGTAATCATTGTGCTGACACATTGTACCGTATAAAACAACTGACCTATCAAAAAATATTCTGTGCTTTTGTGAATTCAAAATCACTGGGGCAACCCATAGAAACAGCGTCTATCCCAAAATGCAAGGAAAAACTGTGCTCAGAGATGTCCCTCCTAAACCTGAAGCTTGAGTGCAACAGGGTTGCTACTTTCTGGTAGTCTGTTTGGTTGTGTAAACAATCAGGCACTTAAAATTTCTTTCATGAAATAAAGTCCAAGGAGAAATGTTTAACACATCCATGCTCATCCGATCCACCAGTCAAGCAAACAAGCAGGTCCAGTTCACATTTGATGAACAAATTCCTCTGAGCTTGGAGATATCATCTGTACACAATCAAAATCTACAAACATATGTTGCTTTTTGGATTTAGCAATATGCTTGTACATTTTATTTGTGAACATAGAATTCCTTGTTACTCACTCCGTACTCCAATTTCCAGAAACAAAATTTCAACGTCATATTGGAAATACAAGTGATGTATTTCCAAAGCAGATGCCAATAGATCTTCGAGATCACCAATCATTGATGGTTTCACAACCAATGAAACCTATGTTACATGCAATCGTGAATGGTTTGCTACTGATTACCCTTATTTTAGGAGTTAATTCCTGGAATAACAATCAAACTTTGGTCCAATGCCTAATTTAGCAGACAAACTTCAAAAGCTCATGCATAGATGATAGATCCCTTAAGCTTCCCCCCTCCCCCACCCCCCTTTCTGGAAATTGGATGAGAAGTTGACTGATCAAGCTAATAATTTTGAATTAAAAACTTCCTGGCTCGGAAGACGTGTGTAATATTTTGATATATGTGCCAATCATTAAAATTTCAAGGGTACCAAACTAAAATTCTCCTCATTTCATATTCAACCTCTTCCTCCACCCGTTTTCACCCCCTCCAACACCACATGATGCTTTCTTTTAATAATCAAATACCCAGAATAATCAAATTCATTCTGCACCCGTCACCTTCAACTCTGATCTATCCACTCTTTGTTTCTAAGCTGCATACCACAAAAACTCAAATTTTGCAGAAAAAATATTAACATCCAATTACCCACAACCAGATCAACACACAAGATGAACATACAGCCATCACATCAGTATCCAATATAAGACACCAACTTAAGACCCTTGAAATAGTTCATATGTTGGTTTATTGGAAGAAGAAACAATCATTTTCAATTAAAAGAAGAAGCATATTTGTTGGAGAATTTATAGAGCTTATTGTCTGCTTCAATTTTGGTTGAAAATAAACATATAAGAACAAATGAGTCTGTTAGTATTAGCTTCTTTTGGGTTGAAGATGCAATATTTCAAATTTTGTAATTTAGGCCAGTTTGGTACTATGAGTTTATCAAATCTCTGTTTAGTTCTATTAAATCTGAAAACCCATTATATGTTGTAACCTTCACATAGTGTAATTGTTTCTGGTTTCCACATCATATCTTATCTGGTCACCCAGTAATAAATGGAGAAGAAAATTTAAAATTTAAACCAATGGAACTGTATCTGGATTTTTGAAGTTTGTGAACTAAAATAGATATAGAACATAATTTCCATTCTTAGACAATTGACTTACTTTAATAGGAAACTGTGTACTTGTGGAATCCTACACACACAATCCCCTATATGGATACCCAGTGGGTCCTACATGTTGCGAGCAAAGATAGAACTTCCAAAATGCTATTCATTGATTGAGATTCTACATATTAGAATATCCCAAACAAAGAAGCTTGAAATTGCGAATTTTGTTATTTTCATGGATAATAAGTAGGTGTGAAACAATAAAGTCGGTAGTTTTCAATTACTTTTTGTATTTTTCCAAAGTGAGCTCCGACCTTGGAACAAACCAGGCATTCACTATCATGCAGAACATACAAACTTACTCATTTAGAAAAAAGACTTTAAGACACATCTTATAATGTATGAAAGTAAAGAGACCCAACTCGTAATCAGTTTAGCTAACTAACTGTTAAGAATTCCAGTTTTTTTTTTCTAACTGATAGGTCACTAGGTCACTTGTCACCTCAAGGAAGCGACAGGTCTCAGGTTCGATTTTACCGGTGCTATCAAGGTCTATTGTAGCAAAGCCAATCTTCCATAAGGGAGAGTTTTGCCTACTTTGAGTGTGTGTCCGTGGATTTGGACTCCGTGAACGTAGTCAGCCAAAGGTGGGATACCATGCTCATAAAACCTCCAGTTTTTGCATACCAGGGGTACAATTTTCCCAAAAAAAAATTTCTTTTTTTTCCTACTATATCTGTAACTGAAGAATGTTCTGCAAGATGGCAATAGAACTAAGACAGCAAATTTTCTTTCTTTTCAACACAAAAAGTAGAACTTTTGAACTGGAAATTTAATATATAATTAACGGATTCTACATCTAGTTATCAAAAAGTAACAACCAGCTGGAAATGTCAGGTTACAACCCCATTAAAATATGAAGGAGGATGTTCTTTACTGTATATGTTTGGATCAAAGTTGTGTTGCAATCAAGAGAGGAAGACAATAATAAAGTCAATTTAGTATTTGCCATCATTAAATCATCAAATGTTACAGCTTCAAGGATATCTACACACGAATTTTCTTTCCACATGTGGTTTCAATCATGATCAAATGATCAATCAAGAAATATTCATGCATCACTAGAACAGGAAAAATTAGCTAAACAATTATCAGGATTAGTGTACTCCTAGATTTAAACTCACATATGGAACTACTCTTGCAGTTTAAACCATAAGCCAAAAATAACAGGCTAAAGCCACATGCTGTTTAAGCCAGGTTTTAATGAAGCAGGATTACACTTGTAATAGTCATCAAAGAAGATTTATGCTGTAGGTTATTGTAGGAAAATATTTTTCCAGGATTTTTATGAGAAAGAAGCCGTCTCCTGGTTCCTCCTGTCAAAAATGGAAACACAATTTACACCCTACAGACAAAATGAATATCATTTCAACGATTGGCACTCCTTGGTTTAGGATCTAAGTGTTCTTGTCTAATTTTTACACAGAAAGTACAAGGCTTACAATATAAAACTAATAAAGAAGTTTATTCTGGTATAATCTTGTTTTATTGTCTTATTGAGGTATATTTTACTTGTATGAAGATGAATTCTCAAGTTCTTTAACCTACTAAACTCCATTATCTATTCTGGTCCAAGAATTCTTTTAACATTTTGATGGCATGGTTCTCATAATCCTTAAAGATTCATTTTTTATAGAACAATCTGTCTAAACTAACATCAAACATCTTAGTATTTATTGATCGTTATTTTTTTTCTTGTGACAGAGATTTGGTAATCTGAGACATCATAGAATATATCAGCTAGAACTATTGTATATTGTCATGATCGTGTGTTGTGCACAATCAAACCTGAAAATCAATTTGAAACTCACTGTCACATTCACATATAAAGAAGAGAGACAAGATGTTATTCCATCCAATTCAATTTGTTTATTGAACCATAAATGAAGTATGGCGAAAATAATTAAAAATAAAATAAAATAAAGCACACCAGTTATTCGGAAGAGAAGAACGCGCCAAAAAAGCGTGCGCCAGATATTCCCGCCGATGTTCCCGCTTGTCGAATCGAGGTCTTTGAAGGACACATAGCCATAATACTTCATGTTTCAATTCGACGTTTTCCAGTTTCTTCGTGTAAAACCCTAGATAGATCTGGCACTGACGATGACGGAGTAATCGTGGGCTAATTTTTAAATCCGCCATTGCACGATCTCTGACCAACAAATATAATATTACTGCTACTGAGACAGCTTAAAAGCATCATCGGGGGAGGATATTGGAACGCAATCTGATTGAAAATTCTGCAGGTGGGAGAATATATGAATATCCACACCTCCAAATCCTCTATCTGGTTTGGTGAGCACGTTTTTCCTGGGTTCTGATTCGGGTTCTAGGGTTTTATATTCTTGCATGAGACCAACATGGCAATGTATTAGGGATTTTGAAGATCCAATTGCTACTTCCGGAAAATTTTGATCATGCATTTTTGGGGATTTGAGATTCACGTATCATGAAATCCTGGACTTGATAGCATCTTGATCTTACAATCTCATTTGAAATTTTCTTTTATAGTTCTAACAAAATAAATAAATAATTTATCATATTTTGTTTATATATATACTTGAATTACGTGAGAACAATTTGTTTTTGTGAGACCAGTGAGACTATTTTTTTACACTTGAAACTTTACAATATTTTTGTTGTGAATGTTCGTTTTCTTTTTACATTCATAACGTTTTACTATGAAGTTTCAAGTGTAAAATAATGGTCTTATGAAAACAAGTTGGTCTCACGTGAACCCAACCTTATATATGTATATACATATACATTAAATTCATATTAATAGTTATATATGTATATACATATACATTAAATTCATATCAATAGTTATTGATTATTTACATCAAGTAAATTACAATAAAATGAAAATAATATCATCAATATGAGTACAATGATATAAGTATCATTTGTCATTTTCATAGTATTTATATCTATACATGTTATTTTATTACAGACTCTAGCCATATCCTTTTACCCTCATAATTGGGATCAGGGACGGATGGCCATAGGGATCTGTAGGAGCCTTGGTCCCTGGGTTTTTTTTACCGATAGAGTGGAACATCTCTAGTCCATTAAGATTTTGAGTATAAAAATCTTTTGGGTCTCTCTACTATTGCTAATCCAGTCCATTTGTGTTCCGCCTCTAATCTGAATCACCCATTTATGCTTTTGGATTTTTGCAGAGTGACGATGGAAACTTGATGGTGATGTTGTGAACACATATAGTTAGCGTCTTTGTGAATGCAAATACGAATTTTCTTATATACTACTTTTTAAAGTCCTATTTATAATGTCACCCGTCAATCGAGCACATATACATAGTTGTAGTTTCAAGGTAAACAGGTAATTTTAGATACAATGTTGACAGAAGAGGTGGTTTGGACAACGGGTTGTAGTGGTGTTCACGATTTAATTCAACTAGTTTGAATCATAAAATATCGATAGAAACTAGTAATTTTGGTTTGAAATCTTTGCAAATCATCGGGATCAAATCATTGATTGAAGCTAAATAGACTAAATCGATCCGACCGTTTAATCTTTTGAAAGAGGGGGGGTGGGGGGGGAGTTGAGGACTGGGGTCGGTACCGCTTGAAAGGAAGAAGGGAGGAACAACAAATCAACAAGAATTAGAAAAACCAATCATTTGATAATTTTTGTGAACGAACCGATTGAGTATTCAAGGCTAACCCAACTAAACAGATCAAATTGCTTTGGTTTCATCGTTTTAGTTTTAACCAAACCGTCAACATCTCTCTCGTTCGTGTATTTAACATACTCATCTACTAGTTCAAAACACGTGTTATTATAGAAATTGTTTTAAAAAATTACAATTCATACTCGTTTTTACTTTTATGCATCTCTTAGTCTATTTATATTAAGGTCTAAAAACCTTTTAAATTACAATTCCCACTTAGACTGACTTGGAAAATTAATCGTGTAAATTTAGATAAATAAATACATTGTTCTAAATGAAACCGACTTTCTAAGCAAAATACATATCAGGCCATGTGTGTCCAATGTGTTTTTAACTGATTTACATTATTTCAGATGTCAAATTGACGAATGCAAGATTTTTTCTAATTGATAACCAATTTTCATCGATGCAGTTTGTTTGTACCAATTTTCTGAAATCAATATATCTCTCATTAAATCCATTTAGTGCTATAAATCAATTTTTTTTTTCTATTTCTTGATAATATTTCAACTAATTATGGCTTTTGAAGGATTAAAAGGTTGCTAATTTTCCACTAATTAAATAATCAATCAAATTTATTTTCTATTTAATTATAATTTCACTAATTAATTAATCTTGTCTCCAAATATCAAAACCACCATCAGAAACTACAACATGATGACATGATCTATAAATTAAATTATATATTTTAATACTAAAATATTGTTTATGATTAATATTTAAATGGACTGTTGATGTCATTCATAAATAGAGGTTAGAAAAAGATTTGTCCTGTTTAATTATTTTAATTTCTGAATCTAACTTATTTTTTTTATTAACCTGGATATCCAACCCGCCATGCAAGCCGATTAATCTCAGGGCAATCACCTACTTTGCAGATAACCCGAAGTCACCGCATTTGAACCTCCGTGACCACAAGAGGAATTTTATTTCTCCTTCGATTTGAATCTGTGACTTCCTGGTACTTTTGACCTTTAGAGCAAGCTCAAAGCAATCAAACACCACCTTTATGGTTGAATCTAACTTGGTTCATGTTTAATTAGAATAATCTAAAAAAAAACCGATTCACATTAAAATAATACGTAGTTAATCTTTTTAATTAGTTGTTTAAAAGTTACTATTTTAAGGTTAACATTTTGACCGTGTTTTACTACATTTTATTATACTAGTTATAGAGTAACTAACATGTTAGCAAATATCTGATTGTTTTGAGCTTGACTTCAATAGTCAAAAGTACCTGGAGGTCCCAGGTTCAAATCCAATAATGAATAAAAATCCCCTTGTAGCCACGGAGATTCAAATGCGGTGACTTCGGATTATCTACAAAGCAGGTGGTCGCCCTGAGATTAATCGGCTCGCATAGCGAGTTGGATATCCAGGTTAATCAAAAAAATGTAGGGTTACAATGGGATGTTACATTCAAAACATAAGAAATTAAGGGGCCGTTTACCAAACGTTTACCCGGGTAAGCGCTTACCAAGTAACATTACTTCACCGGATGAATATAGTAAGGACCAAGAATCTTACCCGGTAAGAGCAAGACAATGACCAAGAGTCTTACCCGGTAAGTGAATGCGACGACTCTTACCACGGTAAGTGCTTACCGGGTAAATTGTTGTATACTATATCGTTTTGGTGGATTAAAATCTTACCCGATAAGTACATAATAATGTTAAATTTTACCAGTAATCACTTATCGGATAAGTGTTTGATAAACGGCCGCTAAATCTTTTTATACTTCTTGATACAACTTTATTTTAGCTAATCAATGGCCTTTGAAGGATCCAATATTGTTGGGTATCTTCCATTAATTAAATCGTCAATTAAATTTATTATAAACTTAATTATAGTTTCCCCAATTAATTAATGTTGTATCTAAATATTAATATATCATTAAAACCTATAACTTGGTGACTTAATCTACGTGTTATGTGATTAAACTTAATGTATTTGTGAATGTTCGGTCACTTTGTCTTAATTTGATTTCACATATAAGCATAAAAAACGATTAATAACCAACATTTCATAATTCAAAATCATATTACTCGTTAGACGTAAATGCGTCTTTTAGTATCAGATTGACGGATGAAGAGTACGAGTAGGAAAAAACTAACACGATTTATAGATGCGATAATCATTTTTTTCAAGCCATAATACAATCAAGATTACTTACCCTTATTTGTTAGATTTGATCGAGCTCACATCATCTTTTTTTTTTTATTTAACTTGGATATCCAACTTGCTATGCGAGCCGACTAATCCCAGGGGGACCACCTGCTTTGCAGATAGCCCGGAGTTATCGCATTTGAACCTCCGTGGCCACAAGGGATTTTTATTCCTCATTGGATTTGAACATGGGACCTCCAGGTACTTTTGATCTTTGGAGCCAAGCTCAAACCAATCAGGCACCACCCTTGTGGTTGCTCACATCATCTTTCAAGTGTACATTATTGAGGAAGTGATGTATTCGACGCCTTCAAACACAAAAGCTCCAATTCAAATGATCAAAAGGCTAATTAATAATCCATCTGCAATAAAATGCACCCATTAAATTTTGAACTTAAATCTTGAACGTGTTAAACTTAAATTTAAAATTGTGTAGAAATGGAGCGGAAATAATGGATATGTGGCTAAGAAAGTTTTGTCTAAACCAGTCTATTCACTAGAGTCGTTCAGAATACTGATATCAACTTTAGTATATAAAATAATAATATTAAATATGGTTTTAAAATACATTAAAATGATTCTTGTATATTCCAATGTACATTTTTTAATTAATCATGACATCTAGAAGGGTCCAAAGGTTGCATGACTCCCATTAATAAAATGGGCAAGTGACCTTTGGTGCATACTTGAGTACTTAACTATAATATCCTTGTCCCCAAAGATTTGATTCCATTTAAGAATTGACATCATCCATGTATTATGTGATTAAAATTATGTTTATCTAAACATTCAAAAATGTTTATTATCGATGTTATACCGAAATAAGTCAATAAATTATTTTTTATAAGTAATCCCAAACACCTCCTTAATATTAAATGATGCAAGTTATGTATACAGGTTGAAACGATATGGATTTAGAACTCGTAGCTAATGAATCGACGTTAAAGTATTTTTGATAGTTTAATTCTATCTATTCAAAATATGAAAAATTAAAAAGAAAAAAGGGTACAATTTAACACTCATTTTGTAACATCTCAAATTCAAACCTGAATATTAGTCTAATAACTTCAAAATAAATTTAAAATTATGATAAAAAATTATTAGTAGTGCAATCAGTTATAAGTTATAACCGGTGCGATAAAGGATATCACAGTTCACCTCACTTAAACTTTTGACATCCTAATCCAACCTAGTCTAAGACCAAACAAACTTGATATAAAAATCGCCATAAGGTGACGTTACACTTTTAGTTTTAGGGGCTGTTTGACAGTTGCTGAATGGTTTGGTGCAGAATGATTAAGTGATCAGAATAATTAATAGGCTTTCATAATATAGTGTAAAATGAAATATAATTATCTGGTAATTATTCTCAACGAAATTAGGGCTCTGAATAGTTATGGGAGACCCATGATACAAAATCATTCAGGGGGTTTTAGAACCATTAAGAGACAGACCATTTTTTTGCCGAACAAGATTCATCTCTTAATAATTCAGAGATTGTCTCTTAATGAAACTATTAAGAGGTAAACAAACAACCCCTTACTCCTGATATAACTTGTGA